CAACCCTAGCAGACTGTCTTTTCAAAATTCAAACCCTTGACAATAGAGGCAGTAAGTCCAGGGTGCGTTTGTGTGTGTTTGTTTGTTGTATCCATGAGGATGTGAACTAATCAACTGTTTCTCAACTGTTGCATGTGTGTACCAGTCAGAGAGTGGAGGGCACCTCCGCCCACTCTCTCTTTTTTTTTTTTTTTTTTTTTTTTTTTTTTTTTTTCTTCTTCTGTCCGACTTTCCCCCCTTCTGTGTTGTGAATTTTGTTTCGCATTTCCTTTCCTTATCCGCGCAGCTTCCATTTGAGCGTTTGAGGGAGGCACACTCGCCCCAGGGCATTTCTGGATGCATCTGGCAGCAATTACAGCCGTTCCTGTTTGCATGCGACCACAATTATGTCCACAGAGCAACGGAAAAAGTCCTAGTGCGAGTACACCCTGAGTTGCTTTTATGTTTTTTTTTTTTTTTTTTTTTTTCCCATCATTCGCTTCTGATCGTTGCTTGATCTGGTAGCTGCAGTCTGAAGGTGCAGATGTTGAATTTGCATGATTGTTTAGAATTTTATTAATTTTTTTTAGTAGTTTTTTGAACTCCTCCCTGCCCCCCCCCCTCCTCCCCTGCCTGAAAAAATGCCGTCTTTCTTTTTGTTGCTTCTTCTGTGATCAAGGGTGATATTGCCAAGGAGGCGGTGGAGTTGGAGGAGGAAGTCAAGCGGTCTTCTGAGGATCTTGCTCAAGTGACCCCTGAGCACGAGATGTACTTGGAGAAGGAGCAGGAAATAATTAAGGGGTGAGTGAACGTACTAATCAACCGGAGTGATGCCCCCCCAGAATAGAAGGGTCTGTGTGTTTGGAAAAGAAAAGAGAAAAAAAAGTATTGGTCAAGTCTTAAAAAAAAAAGAAAGAAAGGAAAAAAGAAAAAGTACTGTCCGATCGTGTCTTAGGGAAGAACTCTGTTAAGGCATAGCCGACTTGGACCAGGAGGAATCTCGTTGGAAATGCTCACCAAACTCATCCCAGCTGGCCTGGAGCACTTCTCGACTGCCGATTGAGCGGAACATGGTATGCAATTGGCCACGACCCACATCGGGAACGCAATTTCCGACCATAGAAACGGAATTGCGTTGGCTACTCTATGCCGGAAAACTCCGTTATCCTCACCAGGTTCAGCATCATCTCCCCTACCAAAAAGGCTCAGCGAGGTTGGTCACTTTCGGGAGGGTTTCATTGTTGTTTTTCCATGCACTAGTCGCTACCGCGACCTGACTTCGTTCATTCCGATCGGAATACAAAGATTGGAGACCATCACGTTGAAGGTTGCCCAGCCAGCACCCTCATTCCCCCCCCAATCCCCCTCCTACCCCCCCCATCCCCCCCTGTCCCCCCCCCCCTCCCTCCCACTACCCCCCCGCATCCCTAAAAGTTTCTCAGCAGATTTGGGCTGTACTAAGCAAGCGCAGTACAGTCCCCAACTCAGATTTGGAAAAAAAATCAGTCGATGGCCTAGGCTGCCAGCCGGGCCGCCCGGGTCCCGGGTGGCCAGCCCGTGTAAGGACCAGGGAAGGTCCCAGCAAAAAAAAAAAAAAAAAATCCGAAAAAGAACTATGTTATGCAGGAAAATAAACTGAACAACTTTTGCCTCAGGGTCACATCGAAATTCTTCACCAAATTTAGAAAAAAATATATATAGATATATACAGGGTTACCTGACCGAACGTTCGGGGGCCCCCGGGCTGACCCCTGAACGTTCGGGCGTTCGGGGTTCCGCTCGGGGGCCGAACACCTCCAGGTTCGGCCCCCGCCAAAAAATGTTTCGGGGCCTAAAAATAAGTTTTTTTTTCTGAATTTTTTTTTGTGAGTTCTCTATGATGTAACCTACACGCCTATAAATTGTGAAGCCATTCTGCTAAGCCAAAAAAACATTAAAAATCGTCAAAGATGGGGTGTCAAAACGTGGTCGCCCACTCACTATTTTGTTTTTTTTCACTTTTAACTTTTGTTTTCACTTTATTTCGGGTCCTAAAAAAATTTATTATTTTTTGAAAATTTTTTAATGAGTTATTGATTATGTAAACTACATATCTGTAAATTTTCAGGGCATTTGTCAATGCCAAAAGATAATTAAAAACCGGCAAAGATGGCGGTGTCGAAAAGGTGCTGGCACACTCACTCATTTTAATTCTCTTTTTATTTTTTCTTACTTTTATCAGTGTTTATTTTCTGTATTTGATTTTTAATTCGAATTTGGTAACGAATTTGGATGTAGTGCCCAGGCAAATGTTGTTAAGTTTATTGTTCTCCATAACGTAGTTTTTTTTTTCGGAATTTTTTGAAAAACTTTTTTTTTTTTTTTTTTTTTTTTTGTCCGCTTTCGGCCGGAACGGCCGAACGCCTTCCGAAGGGGTCCCGTACGTTCGGACGTTCGGGTTCGGGCGTTCGGCCCGTCCGGAACGCCAGTAACCCTGTATATATATATATATTGTCACAGCCCCTCGTTTGTTGTCCTCTTCTCTCTCTCTGCCTACGGTTTACCGGGCAGTTCTGTTTGTGACGATATATATATATCGTCAAATAGAACTGCCCGGTAAACCGTAGGCAGAGAGGGAGAAGAGGACAACAAACGAGGTATATACCGGGCAGTTCTATTTGACGATATATATATATATATTTTTTTGCCCGGCCGGGCAAGTGACCCCGGGCCACTCTGGTAGCCTAGTCGATGGCTGTTTTCTGACTGGTCGGCAGACCGATGACCGGTCGGCCTTACTGGTCGGCTGCAAAACGGTCGGCGGTCGGGGTCAGCGGTCGGCAGGCATGCAACCCTGGACTACAGTTCCCTCGCTGGCAGCTCATGCTTGCTTTTTTGCTTTTTTTTTTTTTTTTTTTCCTCACAGAACCAAAATCTGAGGGCGGGCATTGTTTCCGGAAGTTCTCCCCGACTGGCTAACGGATGCTATCATCAGAGTAGATTGGAGGCTCAGCTGAACCCAGCCGACGGCAGCAGTGCCTGATGGCGGGAAATGTCGAGGTCTTATCGATGACAACTACTGGCTTCACCCAAATACAACGTAACCTCATTGTGAATGTATACAAGCTACGTTTCTGGTCCGATACAGTCTTGATAAGGGTGCATTCTGTTTGGGGTAAGATGGTAGGGTTATGCAAGTTGGCAGTTGCGGCGACCAGGACCAGCCCTGATCTACTCTATACCTTCTTCGCCGGAATACACAGTGCGGTCATTATTGCTGTATTTGGGGTATCTTTCTGTCTAAGTACACCTATAATGACCTTATGTTGTATTCTGGGGAAAAGAAGGTCGGAACAGTTTTGACTCCCAAGATACACGCATGTAAGCACGCATGACGGCGTTTTCGCCTCCCTTCCCTAACATACATGCGAAGCCTGGAAGTCGCGACCTGCAAACTGCAACCTTGAGCCACATGTTGATGCCATAGTGCGAGTGCGTGTAGCCCATAGTGTGAGTGCGTGTAGTGCACCCCTCGGTTGGCAATTGGCATTGAGCTCATGTGGGTGAGTTGGGTGCTTTAAGCCACATTGCGCAATGGGAGTGTCACTGACTAGGCTTTGATTGAATTGAAAGTCCATTGAAATTGGTTGTGAGACGGGGCACCGTAAAAATAGGGATACAAATTCATAAAATGCTATTTTACACTACAGAAGAGTTTATGGCACTTTATGCCCGATGGATTATTGGAAGTTTTGGAACCATAATATTGATGTAAAGCAGCAATATGAAGCTCTGCTGTGGATCTCTGAGGCCTTTAGAAATTAGCACCCAACTATTGCGCAACCCAAAGCCACAGGTTGGTTGCTTTCTAATGTTGAGAATTTTTTTGGTGTGCTGCACCACTTTGCAAGGAAAATGAGCGATAGCAAACTTCAGAAACCAAGTAGCATCATACACGTGAGACCAGATAGTCGTGACCTCGAACCAAAAGCAGAGTTGCAACACGAGTTCCACCAAATAAGAGCACAGCAAAAGACTCACAAGTGACAATGTTGAAATAGTCTCATCATCATCAACAATGAACCAATGTCGACATCCTATCTGGCGCTCTGCGCCCAGACTACAAATGGCAGATCCTATCTAGCCTATCTACAATGCCGCTCGTGACGTCAACAGCTCCCCGAAGTACGAGCAGATCTCGGTCCATGCCGTTCGCTTCAAGCACCGGGTATGTCTCTCGCATCACTCACAACCTCGATCCCCCGCTCACAGATGCCACATGCACCCAAGGACCACCATGTGCCCCATCCAGCACAATGCAGCGCAGCTCGGCTATGGCTGCCTGCTCTCCTTGCTCGCCCGTGAGCGCGTCGGCCTGGCCAGCGATTAGCGCAGCAGCGCTTGCGCAGCATGCAGCCAGTGCCCGAATGCCGAATCTGGAGGCAGGCCCTTTCCTAAATGGAAGTGGTCTGCCTGCTGCGTGCGGCAAGGCTGCACTGGGCCCCAGCCCAGATGCTTCCGGTAGGCCCCGTGAGGCTGAGCCTCAGTCCAGAGGAATCAGGCCCAGGGCCGGTGGTGGTTACCCGTGCCCAACTGCCCGCAGCCTGTGTTCGGTCCATGTTGCGTATCTGGCCCAGGGCCTGCCTCAGTTACATTTGATAAAGGCAGCCTGGGCCTGGGCGCTTTCAACCAACTGGCGCTGCGCAACTGCCTGAATTTTCCCCAGTTGCGTGGTAGTCCAAAATAGGCCTAGGTCGGGCCTGCCTTCACTTAGGGCGGCCGACCTTGCTGATAACAGCGCCCAGTAGGGCTTACCAAGGCCTTGTGCCTCGCAACTTGTTTTGGTGCACAGGACCACGCTGCACACTCTGCAGTGCACAGCTCACTCTAGAAGTCGCACTTCGTCCATGGGGCAGAAGCCATGAAGCATATTTTTTTACGCCGGAGAAGCGTTTACCAGGAAGGCCTCAAGTCATCCATGTATTTTTGTTTATTGGAAAGAGGCGTGCTGAGAAGATCATGTTTTATTTTAAACGTTTTTTTTTTCTTTTTTTCCTTTTTTAATTCTTAAAGCAAAAGACTTGTTGATGATGTTTATGTGAACTGCGCCATGGCCGTTCAGAGTGAAAGTGGTGAGACCTTGTGTTATTATGTTACTAATAATAAATCTCAAGCAGAAGACACTATTATGGGTCGTGTGGAGGTTATGAGCGATTGCAAAGAGTAATAAACTTTAAACAAAGGTATTGAGAAGTGATGTGTTTAATAATGATATTGAAGCAGAAGTTGCCGTGTGGAAGAGGGAAATGGAGAGAGACTGAGAATGTGGTGGCGGGAAAGCAAGTACAAAAGGCCGGCAACAACAGAGCATCAGCGCAATTCCCATTCATACACAGCGCAGAAGTGCTGTTGCAATCTTATGCGAACGAGCGAGTGTCGCTCAGTGGTGAGAGTAGGATAGTCGACAGGCGCCCGCTTCATAGCTCAAAAGGGAGAGCGAGCGGGAGTGAGGGAAGATATTCGGAAAGTGAGTGAGGCCTTTGCGAGTAGGTAGAAGAGAGAGAGAGAGAGAGAGAGAGAGAGAGAGAGAGAGAGAGAGAGAGAGAGAGAGAGAGAGAGAGAGAGAGAG